GAGAGAGAGAGAGAGAGAGAGAGAGAGAGTCAGTGGCTACTGTCAAGTGTTTGGTTACCCACATTGTTTAAAATATATTTTGTTTTCATCAGAAGACAGAAACTCCTACAGGTTTGGAACAGGTATGTAAATAATGCCATTAATGACAGTCCTATATTGTTCAACCAACACAGTTCAAACGCCAGAGGTGCAATCTACTTACTACGATTTTGGGAAACGGACACAACATCTGTACTTAGTTAATTTCTCCAACGATGCATCATACTGTGGTAGTCAAATAGCGAGTTACGTCGTAGTACAAGGAAACCCACTCCTGACTGATTCATCACAAAATCAGCTTATGTGATCTAGTGGCAGTAGTTAACAGCTCACTGGAGAAAATCACTTAGAATGTTGGTTTGTTCTTCACATAATGCAATTGCATGACTTAAGATGACTTGGAATTTAGCACACTAGTCAACTACTTTTATGGTATGTCTATGGTTCATATGGGGGCTTTTTGAAGCTCCAGTCCTCATTAGTTGTAAGTGCATTGAAAAAATAAAAAAAAAACGCTCAGTAGATTCTTTAAAATTTCTCATTTTGTGTTGCACAAGAGAAAGAAAAAGTCATAAGTGTTTGGAACAACGTGATGGTGTGTAAACAGTGCTGGGTAGTAATTTATTACATGTAATACGGATTATGTAATCAGATTACAAAAAATAAGTACTTGTAATCAGATTATATTCTAAAATGCTCATAATCAGATTACAGTTACTTTTATAGATTACATATTATTCACCCTAATTCTTCTTATTTTCTCTCTTTCTCTCTCTTAAATTTTCGTTCTAAAATTCTACTGCTTGTATACTGAAAGTCTTCCTGCTTTTTATCAACTCACAAACCCACTGTAGTTCATTCATGAACTCCAGTTTGGGAAACCCTGGCATAATGACGTTCGTGATCACAAAAAATTGAATATATTTTAGGTCAAAAGTAATCTAAAAGTAAAAAGTAGTAATAATACATTACCTAATATGAGTAATCCAACAAATTACATTACAAACTAATATTTCCATCATGTAATTTGTAATCAGTAATATACCCAGCACTGTGTAATTGATTACAGAATTTACATTTATGGGTAAACGATTCCTTTAACAACATCAGATCAAATGTTCATTTTTATACTCACATTATGATTGTGTACATTTTTTGGGAAGCAAATTTGTGTGTAGGATTCAGTTGTCACTGCGGTAGATCAAGAAACACTGTGTGTACAGATTGAGGTTTACTGTATATGTAGGAAAGATGCAATCTATTTACTTACTCTGTTTGATCAACCTCTTGTCGGCCACCACAACATTCTCCGCATCCACCACAATGACCTTCCCGTCCCGCGGGCCCACAGCGAAGTTATCGAAGCTGACGTCCAGCAGATAGAGAGCAAAGTCGAAGTCGTTGTTAGTAAGCTGCTCCGCAATGTCCATCAATTGCTTGGCCAGGTCTACTCTCTTTTCCCAGGGAGCATTGAAGAAACTCCACAGCTCCTCGCCCACATAGTTCACAGCCACCATCCGCCCACAAGCACCCAGGTACTTCGTAAATGGCCAGCCTTCGTCTGACGGGAAACTCTGAGAAGTACACACAAGGGAACGATTTGGAGTTTATGTGCAATAAAAGTTAAAAGACCCTACTGAGTAACTTTCGAAATTCCCATTGTAACCCTTCACCAAACATCAAGTTCAAATGAAAATGTTTCTTCGGCCAAACTAAGTTGGCTACTCCATGTGAACTTCAAATACCTTCATAGAATAACAGTAAATTGGACTATGGGGAATTGTGATTGGTTTGAATGCTGACAGTGGTGCTTCTGGTGTCCAGACGTCGAATTTAAATGTTTTGAGATGAAAGCTAACAGCTCTGGTAGGAGGGCTACTTGAAGAGGGGGGAAAACACGACATCAATTGCATGCAAAACAGCAGGTTATTATTTTAATATGATACTTGTTTTGTCTGACTCACATAGAGGCAGGAAATATGTGGATGCTGGGGAGGCATCTGTCAGTTGTGACTTTACTTTGCTAGCCTCTTCAGATATACACAAATGAGGCAAGTGAAGCAGCTGTACCCCAGCAACTGGGTTGGTCTCTCAGGGCCTTGAGTGGGCACGTCTCATTACAGCTTCTCTGTCTATTCCATCTACCGCAGCATGGAAGTGCAGAGTCAATTAGATATGAAAGAGCACAAATTAGAGCAAAATAAAAAGAAAAAACAAATACATTCACTATCCTGACCACACAATCTGGTTTATTCAATCAGAGTGCCATTCATATTCATATTTGAAATGTACAAAACCTTCGTCTTGTTTTGTTCTGGGACCTTCCGGCTGATATTCAGAAATAATTTCACCTGCTTCATTTTTCCAAGCTACTCAAATGACACATAAGAGCTTCAGTGATATTGACAGACAGTGCTGCGCAAGGGAAAAAGGTGTACAACTGCAATCTGATTCGCTCTTATTTCACAGTCAGAGAAATGTAATAGTCTAGTTTAATCTGCCTCAGAATCTGGTTAAAGTTTAATGCAGTGTCTCATTAATATTTCACCATACACATATTATTTAAAAACATACAATCAGTAAAAGGACGCAGAATAAAACAGCTTCTGTTCAGTCCGAGAGCTTTTTGTTACACACTCTTAAACTGGTACTGTAGAAAGGGAGAACACAAGTGGTACCGCCAGAGTAGCATGCTGCCATACTATTTACACTATTTTTTCAGTATGCATATTGTGCCCAGTATGCAAATACTGAAGTCTGGGGTGATGGCAGTATCCCCAAGGTGGCATTCGGTCAATCTCAAATAACAGTGTCCAAGATCGTTCATCTATATATTTATGTTGGTTTTGAAAATGTAAAATTTAATGTCTCCAAAAATAGTAATATAATGTAATCAAGTAAGTGTTTATATATTCCTTACTATACTATTTCCTTGAATAGATGGAATTTGTTATCGATAAAGAAAATATGCGTAAAAAAACATTGCGAAAATTGCCGTCTTCAGCCTGTTTCCATCCAACTGGTCTTTTACTGATAAAATGCTGTGCGTGATGACATCATCCCTAAAAAAAACGAATTGTGGATTCATATGGTCATGTCACGCACCTGCAGCGCTTCTGCGAATGCAGAAAAACACAATAAAGCTATAGGCTATATAAAATAAATAAATAGGCCTATATGCAAAATATATTTTAACAACAAAATATTTTAACAAAACAAAATAAAAAAAACTGTGCAACAATTAGCAGCCGAAATGCAGAATTTCTGCTCATTTTTGTGATGCGCTCTTGAGAAAGCGGCATCCTGTTTGTTTCCTTTATTTTACAAATGCACAATGTTTTGTTTTTATTGTGAATGTACACACTGAATTGTCTTACTCTCACACAACCACAAATTAAGGAGTATATTAACACTGTGTCTACACCGGACACGACAGTCGCCATACCGCTTGCATCCGGTGTAGACATGGTGTAAGTTGTTTCTACTTTTAAAAGGAAGAAAAAAATAAATAAATCGCGCAGTTAAGCATTAGGCCTACTAACTGGACGACGCAGCCTGTTCATTGTCATAATAGAATACATTCAGCCAAACATTTAAAACCATGCTATTTTAGTTCCTCTCACTCCACAACAAATACTTTAAATTTAACGGTAGAACAGAACTCAGAACAAAACAAGAATAAAAAAATATAAGAAGCTACTAACAAGCCAAAAACTAATTAATTTAAAATGTTGTACTTCATATAGTAATATCACGGGGGTATGGTGGTCACGCTGAACGGCATGGACTACAGGCTATTTAAACTGAGCAGTGCAGTGTAAATATAGTGTAAAAAATAACGTAAACGTAGGCTACTAAAGGAACTTCAAATTAAGATAAGTATGTTTGAGAAGTAACTTGTCTTTTTCTTACCAAATATAAAATAATTTTAGATGCAATTTAATAATATGAATATGATTTAATGCACTTTTGGACTACAGGGAAAGGGTGCGGCTAATTCTGTCATGTGACACCACATTTATTTGTGTTAAAGTCCCTTTTCTCGACAAAACGTGTTTCCAAACAATTTTTTGAGACATTTGAAGTTGATATAGAATAAATGCGCTAAAGTTAAACGAAAAAAGATAATGTTGACACGTCAATAAATGGCATTTCCATCAGCTATATTGGTAAAAATTTTGAAGCACTAAATATTTTTTCGTAAAAAGTCCTTGGATGGAAACCTGGCTAGTGACCGAGGATGGATAATTTCGACGAACTTGATGAACCTGTGATATCTTCTTCAAAGCGAAAAAGGAAAATAAAAGCTGAAATGTTTTCACGGAACCTTGCAAAAGCAGCGCATTACAATGGTGAGGGAAAAGCTCCGTGCATTGCGTGTAATCACATCCATACAGTTTATGATCACAACAACAACGTTTGTCAGGCAACTACATTGTCATCTGAGGAGATTACAAAGATTAAACGAGTGTTTTTTTTAAACTATAAAACATGAAATGTGGAGTTATCTGCTTTTGCTATAAAACAAACTTTTAATATGTAAAAAAAACATACTTTAAATTAACTTAAATTTTGTAAATTACCTGCATTTGTTTAAGTTATTATTACTTAATCAAAACAACCCAACTGCAGTTTGATTGATATTACTTGGAATGCGCAAATAAAAAAATGTGATTTAAAAAAAATAAAAATAAAAGTGGAGTCATCGGTTTTTGCAAATGAACTCTTCATATATATATATATATATATATATATATATACACACAAATATTTTGTAAAGGTAAATAAAATTCCTTTTTTCAAAAACAGTGGCATTTTATTGTGGCCAGCCTAAGGCACACCTGTGCAATAATCATGCTGTCTAATCAGCATCTTCATGTGCTACACCTTGGCAAAGGAGAAGTGCTCACTAACACAGATTTAGACAGATTTGTGAACAATATTTGAGAGAAATAGGCCTTTTGTGTACATAGAAAAAGTCTTAGATCTTTGAGTTCAGCTCATGAAAAATGGGGGCAAAAACAAAAGTGTTGCGTTTATAATTTTGTTCAGTATATGTATATATATATATTGTATTGTATTGCATTGTATTTTGTGCATAACCTGAATTAACTTTGCAGGTCATAAAAACAAATTATCTGATATTTTCAGAGACTTTTAGACCTTGGCACACAGTCATAATGGCGTTGATGATCTCCTGTTTTATGTTTCTGCACATTTCTGCATGATGGTCGCAAGATTTACAATTACAAGATACAATTACAAAAAAAAAAGCATCGTGTTACTAATCCACCACATTTTTTTTCTATTTGATTGTACTACTGCAACACATGACATGACACAATCACAGCCAATCAGAAAACCTTTGATATTGCTCATTGTGTAGAGAATGTTTTTTGTTTTCTTCACAAAATTGCAAAAATATTCATAATTATCTGTCACTGGCTCAATGTAATGAGGTCATGACAACAATGTAGCCCACTACTGTCTGAACCAGACTTGTGAACCACAAACACATTACAGTGCACTTGCACTGTGTTCACAGTAACATGTGATCATCCCTCATCAGTTATTTTGTGACAACCTCCTTGTCTTCCTCTCCATCTGTCTTTCTATCAGCGGTGTACATGCAGAAGCTAGACAGCTTTGATGTGGCATTAAGCCTTTGACTGTTTAGCCACGGCCTCTAAGAAGGGACAGATGAGATAAGACTCAAACTATCAGGCCACACTCCAGTTAGGCCAACAAATCCAAAACACACACTCCCTCTAATCAGTGCTAAACCGTGCCAACAATTTCTACAAATCCAATTTGTTCCAAAGCACTATAAAATGGAGGGTGCAATAATAACAATATTAGCTCACTCTGATATTAGTAATTAGCATGAGGCAAAGTGGAAGCGGGCATGAAATCTGCGAATAAGGCGCTCAATACTCTATAAAAGGACTGAGTCAATCAGCAGCTTCACAGTGCTGCTCACTCCCAGCACACTTCCTGTGTGGGTTTGATCAGGGGCTACTCTCCAGAAAGTAGGGGGAGAAATCCATGGAGAGGGGAGGAATACACCTCGCAAACCTCAAAGAGAAAAATTTGAATGGAGAAACAGCAGGCCAATCGCTTTTGTGTTGGGCTTTGTTGAGGTCTTGCTCTGTTAATGAGGGTTAAGGGTGGCCTTTAGCAAAGAAAGACCAACGTAAGGAGGCCCGGAGGCTGTTCTGCATCGCATTTATAGCCACTTTTACGTAGTTCATGCAGCAGCAGCAGCTGTCAGTCTGGGACTCAACAAAGATAGCTGAGTGGACTAGGGCCAGTGTGAGAGAGAGTTTATTTATTTAGCAAGGATGCTTTAAACCAAAGATTTATAACCAAACATTTCTTTTTCAAACAAATGCTTTTTTTTTCTTTTTAATTTTCAATTCATCCTGAACAAAAAAGGATCACTATTTCCACAAAAATACTAAGCAGCACAACTGTTTTCAATGCTGATAATAAAAAATAATGTTTCTTGAGCAGCAAATCAGTATATTAGAATGATTTCTGAAGGATCATGTGACACACGAAGACTAAAGTAATG